ATTCTAGTCCAACTGAAGCATTTATAATTGAAGTTTCCTTCCTGTGTGAAATATATGGAATTAAAAGCTACCCTTCATCCAAGTATACAGAACGTTGCCTGTAAATTTCTGTAATTATTAATAACTTTTTAAAATAATAGAGTAGTTTGAATAGATCTTGGAAAGCTATTCAAGTTCAATTTGAAGTGTATATTGTTCAGTTGTGTATATCCTTTAATGCAGGGAGTATTTATATCCATCTGATATAATTTTGACATGTGTTACATAACTGTGATGAGACAATTCCAAAATAGGGCCTTCATATGAAAGAGACATTGCCCTAAATTACATAAGAAAAGACTATTTGCTGATGCTCCGCATAATATTAATATCAGAATAATTGGTGTAAAGTTAAAATAATTCAATTTAAATATTTATTAGAAATTCAATACAAACCAGATTAAATGCTCCAACTCCCAACTTTACACCAACTTCAGAATGGGGGATGATTTTCTCCTTTAACATAACTGGGGCACTGTATTAGATTCTCCAGTACCCTAGCAAAACAAAATATCTGTCAGCCTTCAAGATCTTCTGCTACTGCTTTGCATCTTTTGGCTGCCATAAAGTAACGGGGGGAGGAAGGGGGAATTGTCTGGGAAGAGAGCTGGAGGTGTTACATTCTTGTATTGTATAAATGGAGAATGGGGGGGAGTATAAATTCCTGCTTTAGGTTTCTATTTCTCGCTTGGCTTTCTTTTGCAACTGCAAATCTTTATCAAAATATGCCAAGGTCAACGGACAGAAGCCTCATCACCACCTGAAGATGTCCACATGATCATATCCAGAACTTTTAATTGGAATAATCTTTTGAACTTTGGGGGGTGGGAACAATTCCATCACTTTGTATATGTGATCTGCGCGCCTAATTTCTCAGATTCAGAATTTTACCTGAAGCTACCACTTCAATTTTCAGTAAAAGATTTTTTTCCTCTAATCTATGGAGTATAAGTATTTCTTTCTTGGATTTTGAATGGAGCCCAGACTGACAATATCTCATTATAAACAGATATCTCATTTATAAACAAATAAGAATAAAAATAAAAGCAATCATACAACTTTTTACATAGAGCAATTACTAAGGGTCACTAATAATAATTAATTTTGTGTCTCAAACATGATGTATGTGCCACCAATAAGCAACTTGGTGAACTAACCAAATTTAAGAGATACTTACTAGCCCAGGAACATGAGAAAAACCTGATGTTATTTGTAAACAAACAAGATACACATTTGGACCTTCTTGGTAGGAGTTCCCAATATGAAAATTCATTTCACAGAGGTGGGAAGAGGGCTTTGAAGACTTTTAAACATATTTAAAATATTTTGTAACTCCTGAGACAGGATTCCATAAAGCCCCTCAGATTTCCCTTCAAGGCTGAAGACATAATTAATTCCAAGCTTGGAAACAGAAGTTCCAGTGATAGATTCAACCAATAGTCTATGTAGTTGCTCTTTCCAATACTAAATATTTGGAAAGAAGATATAGAGGTTGGGAAGGCCTTGAAGATATTGATCTGAAGAATCTAACTAGCCTATTTGTCAATGTGACAGAGAAGAAGCAATAGCTTTGTTTTATTGCTATATTTTTCAAATTGTTTCAAATTATTAAGTGTTGTAAGTCTAGTGAGAATTCTAGTATAAAAGATTGTACTTAAACACATTAAATAAAAAGAAAAGCAAATAAAATAACAGCACAGATAGTCCTCAACTTATGATAATTCATTTAATATCAGCTCAAAGTTAAAAAAGCCTCCGTAACTCATCCGTAAAGTTATGGCTGTCACATCACCCCTGCACTGCAGTCACATAATTTCAATTTAGGTGCTTTGCAACCAACTTGCAACAGTTGCAGCATCTTAGGATCATGTAATCATAATTTGCAACCTTTGCAAACAGCATCCAAAAAGCCAAGTAAATTGGGGAAGCCAGATTCACTTAAAGATAGCATGATTCCCTTAACAACCATGGTAAACAAGGTTGCAAAATCAGATCCAGTCATGTGATGATTCACTTAATGCCCAAATCAATTAACAATTGAAATTCTGGTCCCATTTATGGTCAAAAGCCAAGGACTATCTGTAGTATTAAGAAAAGACCTAGGAGGAACTCCCCCTTACTGATTGGAAGGGAGGAGTAACACAATCAGACTTGCAAGAAGTATATTCTGGTCTTCTTGTGGAGTATGTTTCCTGATCTTCTCTACCTTAAAGGACTAGGTGACGAGTAAAAACATTTGCTTTTCAGAAATATTTAGAGTAATACAGCTTGTCACTGCAAAAAATATCAATTATCAAATAATTTCAAAAACTATATACCTATAAATTTGATAACTATTTCTTATTTTGATGCTGCCTTTCACAAAGCTAATTATGCTTTCATCCTAAGAAAAATAGAATAGATTGTCTAGTTCAGTTTATTAGTCAATTAAATACTCTTGCTTCAGATGGACAATGACTAATTCTGAGACAATTAATTGGCAAATTGCTAAAACTCACTCTAATCATAATAAAGACATTTTCCCACTATTTAGCTATTTTGAAAGCACGTTATGAGAATTACTAATCTCACTTTTGATAAATCTAATATATTAACAAGAAGTCGAATTGTTTCATCCTAAGAAAATACCCAATTCATTCAAAAAAGCTATCATCAAAAACACACTCACAGACACTCTAAGCATTATATTTCCCTACTAAGCAGAAAATTTCCCTACTGAATTTAAACTATCTTAGAACATAACTATCTTATACATGTTTACCATAAAATGATACCATTTACCATGAACCGTGGTGGCACAATGGTTAGAATGCATTACTGCAAGCTACCTCTGCTGATTGCTATTGCTACCTCTGCTAAGTGCTATTGCTATTGCTATTTAATAGACCTTACTCTCATAGTGTGCATAAGATTGTAATTTAAATGCACTTCAGATCAAATTTCCCCAGCAGTGATGGTGGTAAATTGGAAAAAAAAAAAGAACAAGAAATACTTAACTTTGTAAAGCAAACATCCTTTGAACTTACAGTTTCTATTGTAGATTTTATGGAAGAAATTATGCTGACCTTGGTCATGGGCAGGATGCTACCAGTTCGGACCGGTTCGGGTATACCGGAAGCTCCGAAGAGCAGCTGTCATAGAACCGATTCGGTCTGACTTGCTCCAACAATCTTCAGTTGGGCCCTCTCACTCACCCGTGCTCCTAGGTCCTTTTTATCCTCCCAGCTGTTTGGCGCAGCAGAGCAGATTGCCCTGCTAAACAGCTGAGAAGCGCAGGGGTTTTACTTTAGTCTTAGGCGCAGAGCACGCGACCACCGAACCGGTTGTTATGCCAGTAGCATCCCACCCCTGGTCATGGGCTTTCCTCCCACAAACCTACAAAAAACAATAATGGTCTTCCCCCTTTCCCTCTTATACCTCAAATACCCCTCTTTCCTATATATTGACTCAGCATCATTTCTTTATCTCCTGCAAAAAAAAGAGAGATTCCAAGAAAGAAGGTATTTGAAGAGAGAGGCAAGCAGTTTAGCAGCAGAATGGGTAATTGTGCTGTATACCTTGGCAGGGAGGTAGGCATCACAATGGAAAAAAAAACCACTAGCACAGACAGTTTTCCCTGAAATGAACAAATGAACACATGTGGTGGACATGCCCAAAAGCAAAAGCATACTGGAAAAAAATACATACTTGGATAGAAAAAAATTATAATGATAGATTTAAAATCAGAAATATTTCTGTTGGGTATCATACCAGAAAAATATAATAAAGGAACTATGTATCTAATACTACATGTGTTAACAGTGGCCAGAATTGTATTTGCACAACATTAGAAAGGTGTGGCAACCCCTACAGAAGAGAAGATAATAAACAAAATACCAAAATGTACAGAAATGGATAGATTAACACTTGAAATTAAAGAGAAGGAAGATACGGAATATTTTGAAATATGGGGTTCGTTTTACCAATGATTAACTAACAGAAACAGAAGTTAGAACATTTAAAATTATAAGAGAAGGATTAATTTTACTACGAGGGCTTACTACAATATGTTTATTATTAATATGATTAGTATTAATAAGTATTAATATGTTGAGAAAATACTGTTATGATATGACTATTACTATGAACATTATTACTATTATGATGATGACCATTGCTCAAATTAACTGTAGCCAGACAACACACTATTTATATAGACATTGAAACTGTTGCTCTTTATATAGCAAAAATTTAAAAAAAATTAAAAAACTAACAAATGCCAATTTTATTAAACTAATCCACTTATGAAGCTTATAAATTAAAACATGAAATTCACTTAATTGTGTATTAATTGCATAAAATATAATAAAAAACGGTAGTGATGTATTTAAAGTACTTAAAAAGTATTTAACACAAAAACTCACAGATCATTGCATCTCTTGCCATTTCACAATTCCCCGACTACCTTAACAATACCAGGTCCTGAACAACATCTTTACCTGGAGGAATGTAAGAGCAGTTCTCTGAAGCAAGCATTCAGCATAACAAATTTCTGCATGGATTTCTTCTAGAAAAAGAACAGAAATGTTTTAGTTTCTCTATATAATGTGATTATTATCAATATTGTAAAAAAAGTTTTTTCAAGCAAGAAACTGAAGGACCACCTACTGCCACTTAAAAATGCTAACAGGCCATCTTCAGAGATGATAAGATAAAATCCTTTCTAGCTGCCACATCCTTGGATCAGTTGGCTTGAGGAATGCCTGCTAACAGCTCTTATTTCTTTTTATTAAAAGAAGTACTTACTTGATTACATTTTTCTTGCATTATTTTAACAGATTTAACAGATAATCAGAGTTGGAAGGGACCTTGTAGGTCATCTAGTCCAAGCCCAAGCGGGAGACCCTACACCATTTCTGACAAAAATTTCTGTAAGTCTCAAAAGAGACATAGCTGAAAATCAAGATATACCGAGGACAAGATGTTCATAATCTGCAATATTTGATGCTGACAGATGTTCACCAGGGTACACGAGATGGAGGAAAACAAGAATTGGGTGTTGATACATACAGCTTAAGAATTGCGTATTCTTTTTCTCCTGTATCTAAATGTTTCTCCTTAGAGAGGTCTCTTATATCTAATCTTAACAGAATGAAGGTAAATATATGTGTCAGGATTATGTTGCAGGATCCTGAGGTTTAGTCTTCTGTGCTTTTGGATTCATGCTGGAGTCCACCAGATTGCAAGAACACAAGTGAGCAGTCAGACAAGGAGACCCAAACTCTTTGGTAGCTTGTTCATGGAATGAACAAGGACATATATTCAATTTTGCAGCTACTAAGATTGTTGGCCAAGCAAATACAAAGGTAGCCAGGGAAATGATTGAAGCCTGGGTAATGGAGCCCTTTGTCAGTCAACAGGAGTGCTAATTTACCACCAGCTTATTAGGTATTTAGAAGCTGAGGACTTGGCAGCACAAGGAAACAACAGCCAAGGACTTAATAACCAGCCATCAACACCCCAATCAACAAATAAAGAGCTACACAGAACCAGGCACCACATAAATAGGTCAAAACATGTATTCAGTTAGAGAGAAGTTCCCTGGGCTCCGGCATGAATCTGAAAGATCGGAAGATTAAACCTCTGGTCCCAGGGACCCACCCAGATTGGATCCTGCAGTCTTAACAGAATAAGAGAGTTATTGCTCAGGCTGGAAACCCTATACCATTTCAGACAAGTAGTTGTCCAATGTCTTACAAACCTCCAGTGATGGAACACCCACAACTCCAGCACTGGAGGTTTTTAAGAATAGACCTATGTAACTGTGTTCTCTGACATCCAAATATCTGCCAGGATTTAATTGACTACAGTATTTTGTTTTCATCAAGGACCATGTGGATTACAATTTAAGCAAATTTTCCCCACAAAGTCATCCACATATATAATCATAAGATTTATCATCTACATATATAATCATAAGATATGGAACATCTGAAGGTTACAATACTTATTCATCAGTTATATCAATAAAATACAGAAAGTTGACGTACAACCAAAACTGAGCCCCAAATTTATGTTGTTAAGTGACAAATTTGTTAAGTGAGTATTGCCCCATTTTACGACTTTTCTTGCCACATTTGTTGAGTGAATCGTTGCACTTGTTAAATTATTAACAGGATCATTAAGTAAATTTGGTTTCCCCATTGACTTTGCTCATCAGAAGGTCCATAAAGGGGACCCCATGACCCTGGGCACTGCAACCGTCATAAATATGAGCCAGTTGTCAAGCATCCAAATTTGATTCACGTGACTGTGGGGATGCTGTAACGGTCCTAACTGTTAAAAATGGTGATAGGTCACTTTTTTCAGTGCCGCTGTAACTTTGGAAAGTCACTAAATGAACTGTTGTAAGTCAAGGACTACCTGTAATATAACCGAGTGCTGTTTGTTTACCTTCAGTTAATTGATCAAGATTCTGTTTGTACACTAAATTGTTGAAAGAGTCTGCTACCGAAGACTTTTTCTGAAACCTAAAGAAAAATGATAGAGGCTGAAGATTTAAAGTATACTTACAATACTGCAGTTAAGCAAATAATTCAGAAATATATTTGACACATATTCTGGAATGCATAATATTGGATGCATGAATTTCTGACTATTATGGTCACACATCATGATGGTTGTCAAGCCAGTCTAACTCTTCTTTTTTATTAAGAAAAGTATAATGTGAAAATATTACAAAACGATGATGATCAATCTTCATGGCTACCAGTAAATGGGAAGATTTATTTATTTATTTATTTATTTATTTATTTATTTAATTAATTAATTTGTCAATTGCTTGCAAGATAATAGGTATAAGTATAAACATGAGTAAGAATACAGGAAATAGGCACGAATAAATGGGGACAATAGGACAGGGACAGGAGGCACGATGGTGCACTTATGCACATCTTTGATTTTACTTACTAACCATTTCCTAACCCTTTCCTGTAATTTACATAATAAGATTTATGTGAAAGAGAATAGCATGTACATATACACGCTACTTAAAAAGGTTCCCCTCCCACATACGGGCTAGTTGTTTTCAGCTCTACGGGGTGGTACTCATCTCCGTTACAAAGCCGAAAAGCCAGTGCCATCCAAAGATGTCTCTGTAGTCATGTGGCTGGCATGAGTAAATGCCGAAGGTCCACAGAACACTGGTACCATCCCACCAAAGTGGTCCCTATTTTTCTACTTGCATTTTTACAAGCTTTCGAATTGCTAGGTTGGCAAAGCTGGGACAAGTAACAGGAGCTCACTCTGTTACATGGTGCTAGGGATTCAAACTGCTGAACCGCTGACCTTTCTGATTGACAAGCTCAGTGTCTTAGCCACTGATCCACCGTCCCTGCAGGCTCCTAAAATAGACTACTGGGCTTTTAAAATATGTTTCCAATTAACACTATTGTAATAGCATCTTAGAGAGCCAGCTTGGTATAGTGATTAAGGCACTAGGCTTGAAACTAGGAAACTGTGAATTCTAGTCCCACCTTGGGCAGAAACCCAGCTGGGTGACCTTGACCAGTCACTTATTCTTGGCACTGTGAAGAAGGCAATGGCAACCACTTCTGAAAAACCTTGCAAAGAAAACTCAGGGACTCGTCCAAGCAGCCTTCAAGTATTGGACATGATTGAACAGAAGACATTTTTTTTAGCATCTTATGTACTAATTTTATAATTATTGAATTTTATGTGCTTACTTCTGACATATAACTTGAGCTTCTTCCATTGTGTTTCCAGCATTCAATATGTCCCTGGAGTCAAAGGTCAACATGGCCTGAATTTCCAGAATGGTAGCATAAGTCAGAGCATGATACATGCTATCCTTTTTTCTATAGGAGAGGAGTTAGAGAAATATGTTCACAAGGCCTAAAAGTAGCACAAGAAAAGAAAGACACTTGTCTTTAAGAATGCACAGGAGCATTAAAGGCAGTGCTATCTAAAACTGTAAAATTTATCCCATTTTATAAATTAAATTTCATACTGAGAATCACACCTATTTATTTTAGGATAGTGTTGAGACATCATAGAGAAAGAGAGACTAACAAAATACAGATACGGTTTTCCACATGAGCTTGATGCCAAAAGAATGGTTTGTGTCTTTCTTTCATTGTATTCCTTCTAATAATGTGCTCCAAAACAAAACAGGCATTTCTTTTCATCCTGCAAAAACATACTGAAAGGCAGACACTTTCACTAAAATCTCAAATGGCACTCAAAATGCCATTTTTATGCTCCCCTTAGAAGCATGAAGGAGATGAGCTTCATATTTTGCTAAAGATAAGTTTTCCCTACAGGATTTCCTGGTTATATATTTTTTGAATTTAGCATGCAATGTTTACAAAGCATTTTTTTTAAAATGTTCTTTTTATTTTTTTGTAGACTTGCTTAATAGATTTGCTTAATTTCTGTATGTCTGCCTGTATTGGGTCACAACGGCTGACCTAAAGCATTCTCAAAAAAAACTGCAGCAGTATTTTTTTGTCTATCATTTTCTTTAATCAGTTTACTAATAAGTTCATTTGCTGATAAATTACTTGCAGGAATTACATAATTTATTACACTGACACATGGACATCTAGATATTTGCATGACAAAATTGGAAACGGCAAGACCAGAAACTGGATTTTACTAGCCACAAAGAATATAACTACAGAGACCAGATTCAATAAAACAGAGGCCTATCTAAATTTTCTTCTCTGTATTTTAAGTGTTTTCTTCTTCTTTTCTATTAATCCTATTTCCCCCTCTATGAATCCTTTAAAAGACTTCAAAAGATGCTGTTCCTGTAATTTATTCAATAATTTATTATCCCCAAAGGGTTGCTCCAGTTCTTTCATGTATCACTCCTTAATTTGAAGTAGCAGTGAGATTAGTGTCCTTGCATTCTGCAATGTTCTATTTAACACAGACACCAATAGGGTAAAATGTTAATTAAATGAGCCTCTTAAGTAAAGGAAAGGAACATCCATTATCTGAAACACTTAATTACGTTAGATACAGCACAGTCAGTTATTCTTTAGGGAACATCATACACTGGGAAACAAAAGATGCTTGTGTGATTCGTAAAGAGGTCTTGAATTGAAGCTAATTACAACAATCCCTAAAGTAAATTCCCTATAACACAAGCATTTCCACATGACACTGATGGCACTATAAATTTGTTATTAGCCCATCAGTTCCTTATAATACAAAATATTCTTAACACAATATTTATATTTGAAAATATTGGATGGATAAACAAAAATGTATAAATTAGAATAATGCACATTTTAATTTATAATTATAGAATGCCAACCCTTCCTTCAACAAATGTTGGAGCATAAGAGCAGCTGAATCAAGAAATCCTTGAATGGTGGTGCTGGTTATTGTTCAGAATTATGGCCCTTCTAGATAGATCTGGGAAGTCATAAACTTGGCTTCAATTTGTTTTTAGCAATTATAATTACTTTGTTCTGAAGGAAAAGATAAGAATTGCCATTGTTTTTATACCTCAGATATTTCAGTAAATGTGATTAGATTTTTCTCTGCACTAACATAACGAAGCTAATATCTATTAAAATTTATCTAGAAAAGACGACTTCAAAAATACATAATAATACAATATACATCTTGATTTCTTCATAAATTTAATGTCCATATTTTCAGGCTGACATTCCAATCAATATTTTTAATATCATCAAGAGCAGCAACTTTTTTCAGATTCAAATCACAACATCGAACAACCAAATAAATGGGTTTAATGTTTATGTAGTCACAATCTAATAAGCAAGTTTAATGTTTACTGCTTGCTGCTGTTTACTAAAATGAAAGTCTCAATCTACATTTTACGTTTGTCTCTCTTTCATGGCATCTAGGGGACATTTCTATGTTTTTATTTGATAACCACCTTCCATTTCACAAGATGTGTAGATGTTTTAGTTATAAATCAGAATTCTACAAGTTCACAAGCATTTGACAAAGTGAAAAGCCTTGGCTCAAGGAAACTATTTTGAAAGGCTGCAAAAACCCTTTCCATTCTGTTTTTCCTATCTTACCCAGCAGATCAAACCTGAAGATGATATCATTTTGTAACAAAATGGTTCCATCTTCAGTCTAGATGTGCTAGGTAAGATAGGATCACCCGCTATTTCTTCAATCCATGCTGATGAAGTCAAAGATCTATCAATGTGGAATTTACAGTATGCTGGCACAGAGAAATTCTCGTATCAAATTGTTCTAACTCTGTTTGTGCAAAGGAAAATAAGAAGACGGGCTATTTGTAGCTATAGAATAATCTTATTTCTATTCCCTATGACTTGTTTCAGTATCAACTGTTAAAATATTATGGTACCAGATTGAAATTAGCATATATTAATTAGTAGAAATAGTGCAATGAACAGAAAGGTTTTTGTAGCCTTTCAAAATAGTTTCCTTGAGGCAATTTTCAATCAAAATTAAACTAGTACTTGCATCACACACAACTCAAAATAAAGATTATTATCCATTTAACTATTATCCATTTAACAACCCTCAATTTCTTTATATATCTGCTGCGTAAAACAAGAGTCTTCAGCTAAAAAACCCAAATCCAAGATGACATTATGATCTGAGGACAGTAACTAAAAATACAAATACACTGAAAACATAGTGAGCCTTCCATTGTACCTATCGATTGCAGAAAATATGACTTCAGCAACCGAGTGGTCAATGCCTAGAACACTCTACCTGACTCCGTTGTTACAGCCTCAAACCCTCACAGCTTCAATCTCAAACTGTCTACTGTGGACCTCACCCCATTCTTAAGAGGTCCTTAAAGGGGGTGTGCATAAGTGCACCAGCGTGCCTACCGTCCTTGTCTTACTGTCCCCATTTATCTGTATTTACTTCCTTTGTTCATATTTATGTTCATGCCTACACTTGTTATCTTGTACATGTTTGACAAACAAACAAATAAATAAAAATATTCCAATTGCTGACCCAACTTTTACTAATTATTTTTGGAATTAAATAATTAGAAAATATAGACAGAATAACAATTGACTTTCACAAAGGCATCTGTCTCCATAATATCTGACTAAGAATTTCTGAAATACTTGTCAGGTGTTATTCAGATTCCTTATAAACATGAATTTTGCATTATTTTAAAAGAAAGTTAGACTGTTTTTTAAACATAGATTTGGGGCTCTGAAAGAGTAGTAATTATGTAATACTATTTTGGACGAAATATACAGAAGGTTGATTTGAAAAAAGAAAGTCAGGTTCTCCTACTTGTGTATTACTCATTCTATTAATATTGGGGACATTACTAGTTTCATGTGGCCTTAAATGCTGTTATTACTCTGATGGGGGTAGAGGAAGGCACTGCTGTTTTACCTACTTCATTCTGGCTATTTGGCCACCCACGAGTTGTTTCCACTTGCTGCCAGCAGTGTTGTTCTGCTGAAGCATTAAGTCAAGGACATTGCTTTTAGTCAATCAACAGCTCCCTTTTGCTTCAGTTTGTGTTCTTTCTTTGCACTTGTAAGCTGCGCTATTTTAGTCTTATATTTCTTTCACAATAAGACCCGTGTTAAGAAACAGCCTGATCAGTCGCATACATGAAATACTTCCTTGACTGCAGACTCTTGGGCAACTTGACATGCAATTTTTAAAAAAGGATTTTTTTTTTCCAGACTAAAAATGCCATTTCAACAATCCACTTGCATTGGAACTAATGTGGCACACCCCATCCCATGCCAAGGACTGATTGGTAACTGTTCTCCTGTTAGTAGGTGAAGCTTGATAGGATGGGAAAGATTGGGACTATTAGACAACAGAAGAAGTCAACAGCAATCGGGGAAGTAAATTTTATGCCAACATATTTTTCTGTCAGTTCAAGGACTTTTGGAAAGCACTTTAATGTGGCCATCTGGTTGGAACTCTTACACAAGGATAGTCCATTCCAGCTGCTCCCATCCGTCTCTCTTACATCTCCACAGGCAATCAGCCAAAATCCCCAGTGGCAACAATATTAGCCATCTGCAGTGTCATACAGAAACAAGTCAGGCTACAGCAACATCCAACAACAAATTACTTTTCAGAGCTTTGTTCTTTCAGGGCTCTTGTGTTTCTCTGTAGTAGAGCAGATTGAGCTATAACAAGGAAAGCTGTATCCACCACGATGCTAAAACAAAAAAAAAATTATCCTACTGTTCTACATATTTTTTAAAAGATGCATTTTAAACAGTATAGATTTTACAACATTCCTCAATATAGAGAAACATTATATGCAAGCATCAACATAATTTTCTGGTCCATAACAAATACATTCAACAGACACGGAACAGAGAGTTAGATAACAATAGAACAGAACAGAATGCAATGCAATACAATGCAATATTTGACCAAATGTGATTAGATACACAAAGAATTTGTCTCCGGTGCAGAAGCTTTCAGTGTACATGCAAAGTGAGAGTAATAATAATCATAATAATGATCTCAATAAGAGGGGTAATAGAGAAGATGAGAAGGATAAGAATAATACTACAGCCATACAACATGGGTGAATATATTTAGACATTTTATGTATCACGAGGTGCAATAAAACATCTGTTTGTCCTATTACTATTTAGTGTTCCTTGCCAGTCCCATAAATTAATCAAAGGATTTAAAACTATTTTCTCAATAGTTCAATATAATTATTATCATTTACTTTTAACATTCCCCACAATGTAACATGATTCATGTTTTTCCCCAAAACACACAATGGCAATATGCTCCTTCATTCTACAGTTATCAAGTGACTTTCCACAGGTTCTGCATCAATAGAAACTGATACTGAAAAAACACTCCAGTATTGTAAAATATACCACAATTTACATCCAGTCCTTCAGGTTTATATAAATCACTTTTTAAATTCTGGATGAATTATTTTTATTTGTTTGCAACCAAATAGGAAATATAAACAGCTTCAAATAAGACACAGAAAATTATCCCAGACAAAATCATAATCTGCTAACTTTACATGTTATCATAACTGCCACCTTTATTGTCTGTTTTTATATCATTCAGTGTGTACACTAATTATGTGTTTCAAAATATGTATTTGAACCTTGAGAATATTGAAATATTCCAAAGTTTGCATTGTTCAGATTTTTACAATACATCTGTAGATATCACAAAAACGATACATCAGAAGAAATACATATAAAATGTACATATTTTTGTAAAATATATCAAAAATGTGTTTTTTATGGGAAAATCAGTTTACAAATAAAGTAGAGAGTTGTTTCAGCACATTTGAGAAGTACACAGGTTAACAGAGAATTGAATTCTGATGCCAAATTGATTCTAATAGATGTAAGTACTATGGTTCATATGCAGATTTGCAAACATGATATTCGTAAATTGCAATACAATAATTCTATCTTAGAATATTACTGATATTGGGATGCAAACATCTGAACAGTTTTATCATTGGTGAATAATTAAACAATAGGCCACCAAAAATCTTCACCCAGCAGTTCTAAATAATACTAATTTCTGGGAGCTCTTGTTTCCTAATTTCAAGAAAGTTTAAAACTGTTAACTGAATTGGGGAAAATCAGATTCTCATTTTTCTATAAAAAGAAGTTTTCAGATTTAAAAGGGGATGGTAAAATATTGAGATTTTCAATTTTTACTAGGATTCAGGAAATTTTTCAGTTTCTCCTTCCTTATTTTTTCTTAACTACGCTGCATGTATTATAGAGTTTATACTACCACCTTCATGTTTCTTAATTTAAAATAGCAGGAGAAATATGTCATCAGTTCAATCATGTTTTGGAGAAATGGGAATGAAGGGCCACCTATGTGTCCTTGTTGGCCATAAACTGGAGTATCTTTAGGGCCAGATCAACAACCTCAGAAGAATAAGCACAATTAGGCAATTTAAATTCCTCCTTTTTAAATGTGTATCGCACTCATGTAAAATGTTACTGGGCTTTGATCATCTGGTCAAGACCAGCATTCTGAAGTCACTGTCATTCTGCAGATTCCTCAACTGTGACCAAAACCATTAATAAAAGCATGCTAGGCTTGGAAGACAGTAATGCAATTTCATATTCAAATATTCTTTCTAATTTGTCAAGATATTTGAAAGTGCATAGAGAGCATAATCTTTGAAACAACATCTACAATTAGGTATAAATCTACTTAATGCTCTTATTATATGTTTGTCATATGCTAAGTAGTAAAAGACACCTATTCAAATGTTTTGTTATAATCAATATACACTTAATTTAATATATCCATGCAATCCAGTAAATTACATTAAACCCAGCAGAGTAATTTACAAGAATTTATTGTTGACAAATCCATGTTAGCTGAATTTATTGTTGACAAATCCACTAACTGCTGTTATTATCAAAATGTTTTTGAAATTCTTAATTTCTGAAGTCTGATAAAACATTCTCTGTCTCTAAATCCTGTAATTATGTATGTTGATCCTAACCAGAAGAGGGAAGATAGAAGCAGTGGCTCACTTAGTTTGCAGAGAAGCAAAGGCATCTTGCAACTTGTTATTCAGAAAGAAATTCACAGCTACCATACATTCATTGAGAGCAACATTCAGATCTGTTGTAGAAGATCTGGGGAGGAAAGAAAAGAATGAATACTAAGTTTTCTGGCAGAATCAAGTAACATTTTGTGCAGGGGAAAAGAACACGATAACGATCAGAATATAATCTGCACGGATTAAAAACACTTAATTTATTTTGCTTACTTAAATGTCACATTTTAAATAGTGTATTTGTTTTACTTGTTGTTAATGGCCTGAAATGCTTATATAAGAACATGGGCTATAAACTTAATACTATAATTAAATGAAATAAGGTCATTTAAAGCTGATTTACTAACCTAATACAGCAAGAGAGCCTAAAACCTGCTGGAATCAATCCACATACCAGCTTTACTCTCACACTTCAAAGCAGACAGTTTCCAGCTGCTCAGGGGACAGATGTTGTACTCACCAATTCTCAATAAATTGGCTGTTTAGGAAAAAAAAGTCAAGAATCTCTCAATTTGAATAAATTCTAAATTAATAGTTGATTCCACAAATTTATCTCATAAGAGGATAAATATTTGTGCTTATTTTAAGACAACAATTATACCCAATTTCCTGCTTCTTGCCTAGCATAATTACCTACGCATTCTCTTTGCGAGTTTTTGGAATGCGGTCTTTTAGTATGCATTCCAACTCCTTAAAGACCGCATTATTAAAATTTGGCAACAAATAAGATATCACCAATTTCTATTTTTCATTGGAAAAAAAAAGAAAAAAAAATCAAGCTGATTTAAGCTGATTTAAACTTTTAGCAAACATCCTCTAAAACCAATAATGTCCCTTTGATGCTAATCCATCTTGTATTTACCAGGTGCCCAATATAGTTCAAAATGTTACTTCCAGATGCCTAGGGATTAACAGATTTATTTTCACGTCCATGGCTCCCAATCAGGGGTGGGATACAACAGGTGGGATCAGGGGTGGGATACGACAGGGTTAACTACCGGTTCGGGATTTACGAGCTTCCCTGCACGCTGCGAGCCGCGTGCCTGTAAATCGTCATCACAATGCTGCGTGCAGAGAAGCAGCCTTTGAAACAGACCTCTTTTCCTGCTTTTTTAACTGCAGCTGTGCCTCGTTCGGCAGCTGAAGTTGAAAAAAATCAGGAAATAAAGATCAGGTAAGAGCCCGGGTGGGCAGGTGGGCAAAAACATCAGCAGACATAGAACCGGTTCTATATCTACTGCTCTTCAGAGCTACCAGTTCTACAGAGGTGGACAGAACCAGTAGAAACCCACCCCTGCCTCCCAATCCACTTCATCAGATCTCTAAATGGAACTTTAAACATGAAAACTAGCATTATGAATTGGTCTCGGAAGGATACTGCCAATCAGTATAGCTACAACACTATGATTTAAGATGTAGCATATACCTTCCCTTAGTATGCTCTGTATCAGTTTTAATTTCTGATTCATTTTATAAGGCATAGAGTGGTTTAAGCAGGGGTGGGATTCAAATTTTTTAACAACCGGTTCTGTGGGCGTGGCTTAGGTGGTAGGCGTGGCTGGGTGGTCATGTGACTGGGTGGACATGGCTTGGTGGTCATGTTATTGTCTGTGTGTGGCCAACTCAATATCACTCACATCAAGGCACTCATGACTGTGGTATCACAATATCACTATCACAATATCACTCACATAGAGGCACTCACCTGGCCTCTCATGACTGTGGGGATGCTGCAACAGCTGTAAGTGTGAAAAACGGTCATAAGTCAGTTTTTTCAGTGCCACTGTAACTTTGAATGGTCACTCCACACAAGCAAAGTACCAGCAAAGGAGGGGAAAAAAACTCCAGAGAAGTTCCAGAGACAGGAAGTCTAGTCCTGCCAAGAATGTTATAAGGGTTAACGGAAAGCCAGTTTCTGTAAGCAACACCAGAATGTTTCCTTCCTGCCTTCCTTACAGGATTAGGCCAGTAATTTCTTCTAACAACCGGTTCTCCGAACTGCTTAAAATGTTAACAACCGGTTCTAGCGAATAGGTGCGAACTGGTAGAATCCCACCCCTGGGTTTAAACACGTGGTGATAAGGATGTAACTCACTGCTGCCAGGCTTACCTGGTCCAGGATAAGCTACAATGGGAGCTCCAATCTACATTATGTACTGCTCTAGTAAGGACTGTAATTCAGGACAATTACCAGTCCTCAATATGACCTTACATAGAGCAGAGGAGTCACTGGAACTGAATCAGAGCTGGACAATTTGGAACTGTTTCTCTGTCTTATTAAGATTCAATTGAGCATGAAGGGGAAAAATCAAGAGTTAAAAAAATGTTTACCTATTACATACTTTCCTGAACTGGCTGACTATTTTATAATACAATGTGTTGGGAAGATCACCGCTATATAATGAGAAAACAGGATTAAATTCTCTAATGATTTTAGCTAATCAGTTTTAGATGCAAAACTGTCTTTATAATTTCAATTTCCCTCCCAGGATTGCTCTTGGAACAGAGCCCAAAGAAATTGAAATGCTGGTTTGGGGCCGTTTAAGTACTGCATGCTCATGGAATATTTAGATCCATTTACACTTTTGTGCACTATAAGGGTACTTAGAAAGGAAAAGGTCTAGCTTGACATGGAAAAAATTTTCTCACAGCTCCCCGCTTCCCTGTTGCTTTATACAATGTTCTCCACCTGCTTATACCATTGTTACTGTAGAGAGAAAAGCAGAAATTTCCAGCCTAGGTTTGCATTGTGTGTATATGTGAATAAAGCAAAGGAGCATGAGAGAGAGAGGGGAGGCATACAGATTTGGTTTCCAGATTTGGGCTGCTTGGAGGCAGAATATGAAATAAATATTTTAAAGGAGTTTTCCTTTAAGCTAAATAGCCTAAGCCAGCTGGAGCTATGCTGGCTGGAGAATTCTGGGAGTTGAAGTCCACAAGTCTTAAAAGTTGCCAAGTTTGGAAACCTCTGGCTTAAGCAGTTGAAATCTAATAGAAATAGCAGCTGCCTAGGTGTTCCTGAAGTTACAGCTGGTGATATAAGTGCAAAGAAGGCCTTGACAAGGCTAGGCGAGTCAGCAGTACTTAAAGAGCCAAAAGCAGGGATTATCCAGCAACAGCCAGGCTTTTTGGAGAGGCTTATCAACAGATCTGGCCTGGGAGGCCAGAAACAGGCCAACAGGAAGGGCCAGGCAGTACAGAGAGCCCTCAACCTATAACCACAATTGAGTGCAAAATTTCCATTACTAAGACAGTGAGTTTTGCCCCATTTTACGACCTTTCTCGCTGACATTGTCAAGTGAATCACTGCAGTTGTTAAATTAGTAACATGGTTGTTAAGTGAACCTGGCTTTCCTATTGACTTTACTTGTCAGACGGTCGTAAAAGGTGATCACATGACCCCGGGACACTGCAACCACCATAAATATGAATCAGTTGCCAAGGATCCGAATTTGATTACGGGGTGACTATGGGCATGCTACAATGGTTGTAAGTCTGAAAAACACTCATAAGTCACATTTTTCTGTACCGTTGTAACTTCAAACAGTCACTAAATGAATTATTGTAAGTCAAGGATTGCCTGTAGGCTCTGTAAATGGCATAGCACAGCAAAATGCCCTGTGGCAGACCTTAGGAGGAGCCTGTGGCCTAACAAGAGGCCCCTTTTGGCAAGGCCACCTAAAGAGGCCTTGTTGGAGCCACCGCCTGAAGAGACTCCCATGGCAGAAAATGGCTGCCAGCTACTCAAAAAGTGGAGATTGCTTAGACGGAGTTCCTAGGAAAGGGTGGTATATGGAAGTGGGCTGTGGGGCTAAGATTAGAGCCAATACTAGGCTCATATGCTCATCGCCTCTACGGGCATTAGCTAGGAAACTAGTTATTTATAGAGATTGGGGCTTTCTCTACTTTACCCTAAGGTTGCTGAGATCGAGAAAACTGCCTTAAAAGCTAGTCTGGGGAGAATTATGCATGTTGTACAAAAGGTTTCCTAGGGTAAAACCCTTCATAAGTAGTTCAAAAGATGTTTTTGGTGATTGGGAGTGTTGCGTTCAGAAAAGACTGAGCTGAAGTCTTCACTCTGGTCCGTGTTCCCGCTGGAAACATGGACCGTTCCTATTGGCTGATGCCGTTTGACAGATGACCATAAAAGGGAGCTGTCAAATGGCATCAGCTGTTGCCCACCAGCTGGCTGCCTTGTTAGCACAGCAGTCGCGGCAACTCTTTATTGTTAAAATAAAGTTAACAGTCACATTGGGGACCTAAGGAAGCTTATGCTTTCAATGCAGTCAAATCATTGCTTACATCTGATGCTGTTCTAATTAAATTCAACAAAAAATTGCCTTTAGTCTTAGTAGCAGATGCATCACCTTTTGGCATAGGAGCCATTTTAAGTCACAGACTGCCTAATGGTTCTGAGGCATCCATTGCCTTTTTCTCCAGAATGTTATCCCCAGCTGAGCAAAACTACAGTCAAATTGACAAAGAGGCTTTAGCTGCAGCTGCTTCAGTCAAAAAATTCCATGAGTTTCTATATGGACACCATTTCGAGTTAGTGATGGATCATAAGCCTCTGTTGGGTCTTCTGTCAGGCGATAGACAACCTCCTCAGATTTTGTCTCCAAGAATGACCAGGTGGACTTTATTTCTGGCTGCATATTCCTATACGCTGGTTCATCGAGCAGGCAAGAGCCTCAGCCACGCTGATGCCCTTAGTCGCTGCCCCCTGCCTGTTCCAGTTGAGGATCCTGCTCCAACTAATGCTGTGTTCCTGATCAACGATCTCAAGCTTCCCATCACCGCCTTTGATATTGCTGCCCACTCTGCCAGGGACAAGGTAATCTGCCAAGTCCCTGACGGATGGCCTGCAGTTCCTTATTTCCCCAAATTCTTGCCCTTCAAAGTTCGCCAGCAGGAATTGTCTTCTTTGCAAGGCTGCTTACTTTGGGGAACTAGGGTAGTTATCCCTTCCCAGTTGCAGACCTCAGTTTTAAAAGTCCTGCATGAGGGACTTCCCGGCATTGTCAGGATGAAGGCTCTAGCTTGCAGTTATGTATGGTGGCCGGGCATGGGTG